TCTATTAAATAGGCTAAATAGCTAGCCTTCTAATAACTGCCTTGTTCCTTTGTAGTTACTATATAAGGCATTAGATGCACTATAAAACTTATTAAGCTTAGAGGTTGAGTGTGCCGTAATTGTTAGTCTAGCATTATTGTATTCTAGGCACAGGTCCTTTGTCTAATAAAGGTACTTAATATACTAGTTAGCAGCAGCTATATCTACCTACCTAGGATTTTGAAGTGCCTTTAATAACAATAACACTGCTTTAGCTATGTCTAGCCTCGTTTGTATAGCTGCGAAGTTAAGTAATCCAATACGGCTCTAATAGGCTAGTATCGCTATAGGATCGAGGTATATTGTATCCTCGCTAGGTTCTAGTTTCTTATATAGCTTATATCTAGTTAGCAACGGTAACTCGGCTCTTCTGCTAACGTTAGTAATATTGTATCGCTAAGCTATCTTCTTAACATAGGTCTTCTAAGATAGCTAGAGCCGTCGTATAGAGCGATCTCGCTTTACTTTAATACTAAGGAACTATAAGAGCTTCCCTAGGTTATTAAGCTCGTATTCCTTTATTAGCTTCTGCTTTAGGTCTATTGCCTTCTGTTTGTATTAACGGTAATATAATAGCACTATGTTATCTATATAGAAGAAGATAAATATATACTTGTCTAGGTCGGTATATAGGTAGTCTACGTTGTCTACTAGTTATATACCGAGCTTGTTTTCGAGGGTAGTTGTAAAGTGATTGTACTAGAGCCGAGGAGACTCCTATAGCCTATATAATACCTAAAGTAGGCGCAGTACCTTGCCCTTCTATGCAAATCCTTCTAGTAGTCTTAGATATAGCATATAGCGTTAAGAAATGCATTTACTGCATCTATCTACTTAGCCTCTAGATTAAACTTTGCAATAATAGCTATTAGGGCTCTAAATACCCTTACTACGAGGGTTGACGTATAGGTATCTAGGTATATACCCTTCTATAGGTCTCCTCTTACATAGACTCTCACTTTGAACTTTACTAGCCGTCTATTCGCATTACCCTTGTATTTGAATACCTAGGTAAGAGGAAGAAGGTTAGGCTTATCTAGTGTATTAATATCGACCTATTTAAATGTTCCTATTTTAAGCGCCTTATTAAACTTAACTATTACAGCGTATATCTAATGCTCTTTAAACTTGCTCTTAAGTACCTGTCGCTAGTTACGTAGCTCTGCTAGTAGGTCCGAGACCTTTAGTATAAGATTTAGATTATATTCGTCGCGTAGAAGTAGTAATAGTTCTAGTAAAGGTAAGTTAGGCGGGTTATTAGATCGAGTAGGCTATACGAGGCGCGCTTTATGCTCGGCGGCTATATAGAGGTTACTAAATAATAGAAGGTACTTTACTTGTTCTCGATTGCTAATATTATAGCGGATCGCGGCTGCTCGTTATCGCTTATTTAGATAGTTAATACGGTAGTGCGGTCTACCTAGATTTAGTAAGTAACGACAAGATATATTAGCGGCTTTAATTAGTATTAGCAATTCAGCTAGCTTAGCACGTAGCAAGTTAAAGTCTATATTATCTATATAACCTAGTGCGTCTATATTGTTAGTAGGGGCTTTATCGCTAGCATCGTTCTTAGGTTGTTAGACTAATCTGTTTAATATATTACTACAAGGCAGCCAAGTATTGCTTAGTCTAATTAGAAAGTCTTGTTACTATATAGGCTATTATTAACTTATTGCTAGTTTATTAGGCAATAGTCGCTTCGGTACTAGACTAAGTTATTTAATTAGTAGCGGCATTGTTAGCAGCTATCCTTAGACTAGCTCTACTAGCCCTATAGAGTCGACAATTATTAGTCGTCTAGGTCCTAATAGTATGTCTACCCCCTTAGTTCTAAACCGTACGAGGTCTAAGGGTGTATTATATACTTCTCGGAGGTCGTTAAATTAATGCTCCGAGGCGGTCGTTTATAGTTCTTCGAGATTACTAAATTGAGTTAGTTCTTAGTTAGTAAGATTAACTCTAAGATTATTATTATATCTATTATAGAACATAGTCTTATTAAAGATAACATCCCTTGTTCTTAGGACTATTATACGTAATAGTACCTAGATCCGGTAGATAGAATAGCCTTTATAACTATATAAGTATCTAATATAAGTACGTAAGGCAACCTTTATAGTCCTTAGCAGAATGTCCTTCCGCTTATATAATACTAGGTCTGTCTCCGTGCTATAGATCAATAGATAGGCTCGTAAGCTAAACTAATATATATAGGCTACATTAGGCTTGTGTCTAGTTCTAATCTTAAATAGTGTCCTTATTACATAGTCGGTAGAACGTAACCTTAGTGAACGATTAATTAAGAAGGTTGCTATATAAACGCCTTCTAGCTATAGCTTGTATAGAAAGCGTGCGTGTATTATAAGGGCCCTAGCTACTTTAATAATAGTACGGCCTGCTCGCTTAGCTAGGTCTTGTTTAGGAGTGTATAGTGCTATTAGCCTCTAGGTAGTATAGTTATTACGTAAATAGGATCGAAAGCGCATTCCACTAATAGCCCCTTTATTATTAGATAATAGATAGATAATATCCCTACTAATACTGCGTACGAATAAGGCTAGTTAGCTCTAGCATTATAGCAAGGTTGATTTAGTTCGATTACTAATAGTCTCACTAAAGTAGAGTCCTATATTCAAGTCGTAGGTATAGAATAGGTACCTGTTACTATTGTAGGCTATGTCCAGTTCTAGTAGGTTAGCGGCAATGTAACTATATAGAGTAAGGATAGAAACGTCGTGTTTCCGTAGCCTTCTAGAAATAAGCTTCTTGCCCTTAGCCTAAGCATATACTAAACATAGCGGCGTTCTTAGAACTTTAGTATCGTATAAGAGATCTCGTGTTATTCTATTAACCCTATTAGCTAGCTCTTTAGCACGTTCTACGCTTAGGTATCTAAACACTTTATATATCTTCTTAAGTGTTAATTGCCTCGGTAGTAGTAGACGTACAGAGCGTCGTATAGTAAAGTTGCCTCGCTATATAAGTTAGAAGAACGGATAACTTCGTAGTCGGCCTTTACTATCGATTAGCTATAATTTAGGTAGTAGGTTGTCGTTAACTTTGCTCTCTATATCGAAGTAGGGCATTTCGTTGTCTAGCCTAATAAATTTGACTAGGGGCTTGCCTTATAGGCTATATAAGGTATTATCTATCTCCTAATGTCTAAACCCCTTATAATAGAACAGTGTTCTACTAACAATATTAGTATAAAAGTTAGGGACATAGAGACATTCCTTTAGTTTAATTTCTAGGGGACTTCCGCTAGTATTCTTAACTATAAATAATGCTGTTCTAATAGCAAGGACTCGATTGTAGGTCGTTCTAGTAGCTACGGTTACTCTTAGTAGAAGGAAGAGTGCTTTAAAGTTAAATCGGCTAGGGTAATTAATAATGTTGCAGTTTAAGCTACTATTATACATTAGTCTATCGCGTAGGGTCTATTTGCCCTTATATACGATTATTGATATATAGGTAGTTAGATTAGTAGCTATAGAAGCCGATTGAGGTAACGGATTATAGAAGTAGGCTACTAATAGCTTGCCTAAACTATTACTAGTACTAGCATTATCTTTATTACGGCCTTCGTAGTATTGTTGCTTAGCGATCTTAATAGCTAGTAGATCTTTATAGAACTTAGCTTGTCTTAAGCAGAAGTCCTTGTTACGGCGAAGATAGCCTTTATAGAACTTTAGCTTGCTACGCTACTAGGCGTCTTTGTCCTTCTCTTCTACTTTGTTACGTAGCCGGTAGTTAACTACTAAGCACTTGCTACGGTTCTTATATGCCTTCTTCTTACTAAGGCTAGTAAGTTTAGTATAGGATTTAGGCGTACGGCGCTTGTTCTTGTCTTTGTCTTTAATAGCACCGCTAGTAGCCCCCTATAGTACAGTATTAGAGGTATTATCTTCCTACTTATAGACTATACTAAAGGATAAGCCCTTGCGAGTCGTTAAGGCACTAGCTATATTCCGAGTATAGTCTCGTATTATACTAATCAATTAATAGAAGTTGTTTACTATTAGCCCTACCTAGTGTATTATATAGAGGCCCTTACTATAGGTCTTATCTATATTCGTAACTATAGTATATAGGTAGGTTACTAGGTTGTCAAATTCCGGGTATTATATCCGCCTTATAGTTTTGTATAGGTTAAGCTATTCCTTATACTAGTGCTCGGGGTCCTTTACCTACTTAGAGTTTACTAGACGTTATAGTTCTTTACTAAGGGAAGTTCTTTACTATTACGTATTAGGTGCGAGCTTATTCTTTAACCGAGTTAGAATAAGCCGTATAGTTAGTACTATATTGTTTCTATTAGGATTAGTAATCTCTAAGTAATAGCGAATGTCTATAGTTGTAGCTAGATATTTAATCGTCTTATTACGAGCTATTCTAAAGCGTTTAAACTCTGCCTTCCTTATATTAAAGTGTTCCTTAGTAAGCTTTGCCCTAGCCTAATATAGGGGGTTGCTTATAAGTTGCTCTATATCGAATTCCGGGAGAAGGGGTTGTACTAGTTTAGCAGGCTTAGTCGAATACAGATTAGTAAGGACCTAGGTCTTATATCTAGTTAGGTACGTCTTAGTTTACTTAAACTATCGGTCCTATTCGTTAGGTCTACGAAGGACAACTAGCCTGCTACCGCTAAGGCGACTAGCTAACAAGGGAGCTATTATTAAGGACATATTAACCTTAAAGCGATCGTAGAGGCTTATATAGATAGTTGTTTCTTATAGTACTATTAAGACTATTAATCGATTATTAAAGGTCTTATAGAATAGAAAATTCTTTCCTACTATAGAAGTCTCTAATACCGCGGATTAAATCCGGGCTTATAACTATTACGTATAGCGTAGTAGATTACTTACGTAATACTATATTGCCGGCGGTTGAATTAGCTTCGTTAATTACCTATATCTTAGTCTATTCTATAGTCTAAAATACAGTGTAAAAATTCTTCATGCCAAGAGGTCACGTGTCTGTCATGTGATTGAGCTGACGCGTCACAGTAGCTGGGGCTCGGTTTAGTATCGAGGTTCTGATATAGCCAAGGATGACGCAAACGCAAAGCATCTCGGCCAAAATCCATCAAATCTCCGAGCGCACGTCTACCAAGCCAAGCAAACTCATGGAGTCATGGCAATGATAATAATAATACGCGCACACAGGAGAAATGCATTCCAGCTCATCTCACGGGCCAACTGCTCTTCAGCATTCTCACGCTGCCGGCATACCACCATCATACTGTACACATTATTATTCGACAATGCGTCTTTCTCCACCGAACTGACCCCAGCATGAAGAGCCAAGAGCAACTACCGAAACGCTGTTCTCACACGTCGACCAAATCCGTCTAGCGCGACGCGGAAACGCGTCTCACAGCGGCACCCACTCAAGCCACCCTACCACCGCTCAGGACAGAAAATTCACCGATGGCGATACTGTGCATTAAGCTACCTGTCTACCGCTCCATGTCGCTCTTCTGCAACCATGCTAACATACAGCAATCTCATTCTCTCCTACAACCCAGGTTCACCAGGGGTGTGACGCGTGAAAGACACGCACCGTGAAACGGTGAAAGCCAGCCCTGTGCAATCTGCGAATCTTGAAGCAGAATGTTTTCCCTTCCTTCATCTCACCACTACGTGACAAAACAAACATTGCATCGCTCCATCCGGGAAAGGACAGTCAGTCTCGGGTATATGTGTATGCCATCCTGTATCGCCATATCGCCGTTTTCATCCAACATGTGAGAGTATTGTCAAACTCAATTTCATAGAGGCAGATGCCATTGTCGCGGTCTGCGTGAAGCACATCTTCTGTGCATGCGGCCTTGATGCCGTAACTCGATATCGAGCATAGTCGTATATTCATGAAAGCCATCAAGAAAATGCAAACCCATGAAAAGAAAAGTTCGTTTCATGTCCGCAGCTCACCGCCCAATTCCATACCCAAGCCGTCATTGTTGCGAGTACGGGTCATCGTGGGACTTGTGGTTGGGGGCATGAGGTTGTTGAAGTCAAGTCTCCTTCGTGCAGAAGCGCCAGGCGTGCGGCCTGCATAGGTGTGCGATTCCACGGGCCTTGCGCTGGACTTGGAGTGACATTCACAAAATCAGCAAAGTTGAAGGCTGTACCCGGAGTGGTCGGTCCGAAGCCGAGGAAGCCATTTCCAGAAGTGCCTGGAGTCATATGTGAGGAAGGGAGAGGAGTTGATTTGTGCGGAGGAGTAGAAGGTGCGTGAATGACGGGCTTGGCACGGGATGCATGAACGGCCGGCGAGGGTGAAGCGGCCAGATACATGAGTAGATCGGCGCCATCGTCTCCACCGGTCTTTGGCGTGCGCGACCACGAGACTTGATGTATGCCTCTCATATGTTTTGGAGGCGGTGGAGTCTTGGGAGGCGAGGATGTGATGCGAGTAGAAGCATTGATGCTGAAGCTGGTGATGGGAAGATCGGCATCGTCTTCTTCGCTGAATTCTGGCGACGGCGGATCATCATCCGCGATGGTCGATGCGCTCTCCGAGATGAAGGAGAGATGTGATGGTTGTCCTGAGGGGAATCTTGCATGCTTGGTCTGCTTGATTGGAGAGGATTCTGGAAGTCCTTCCCTCTTCTTCCACGTCGCCTGGCGATTCGTGGCGCCTCTTGTCCGGCGACGTGTTGCAGCTGACGAAGCGGCGAACGAGTGCACATCTGAAGCCTTGATCCTCTTACTTCTGTAGCTTCCGCCTGATCGAGGGAGGTCGTCGGAGAAGATGGGCTCGGTAATTGGAGACGAAGTGAGGCCGACGCTGGAATGTAGTCGGCTGGAGGCAGTCGAAGCAGTATCTGAGATTGTGTCGTTGCTCGAGGCGGGTCGCTTTCGTCTGAGTCGCTCGTCGATTTGTGGCTCGATAGCATCCAGACTCAGATCCTGCCATCCGTTCTGGATCTTGACATTGGCGAGCGCGAGCCGATCTTGCAGTGCGCGGGTCATCTATGAGGGAAAGTCAATCATCAGCCACGTTTTCAGTGGGTATAGGTTATATATCATCCTGCATACCTTTGAGACCTGCACTCTCCTCATGACCTTGCTTGCAACATCTTCCGGCCGGTCCATGCTTGTTGCGGCGGCCATGATGTGTGAGGTTGGGGATTGGCGAGAGGGGTAGCAGTCGAAAGGCAAGAAGGCGCAGATGGGAGCGCTGCGCTGCGCTGCGCTTCAGGTGGAATTGCAGAGGCACAATTCAGCAGCTGGTCTTGGATGCTCACAGGTGCAGGCGAAGTGTGAGGTCGGGTGTGATCAGTCTGATTCCTGAGTACAGCTGCTGAGCAAAGGGAGAAGTCCGGCGTGAGGCTCGAGATAGACGCTGGCAGCCGTTCGCATGGGTTAATTGGTCCCAGTCTGTGCTCGGTCTTCCCAGTTTGTGTGAAGCTAAGCGTAGGAAGCAGATCGGCCGATGGAGGGCAAGGCGAGACAGCACGCAGCAGCGGAAATAGAAGAGCCGGCACGGCACGGGGTATAATTGAGCTATAGCAGGGAAAATGGCACAGTCAAGTCGAAGGGTCGAGCAGTGCAGAGGGAATGTGGATGTGTTGTACAGGAGAATATAGTCGAGGCGAAGCGAAGCGAAACGACCAGTCGCTTTCTTCTTGTGCAACTTCACATTCCAGCAGCTGGGCGTTTCTACGCTACATATAAACCTTGCTCTCCGGTATCTCACAACGGCGCCGCCTCCGAGACGGGAATGATCCAGATTGCACGTCACTTCGCTACAAACATATAGCAGCAAGATGTGCTACGCAGCTGTCGATAGCTACAGGAGGGAAGCGAGAATCTGCCATGCCATGCCATGCGACAAGACTACTCTTCGCATCCGTTGACAAGACAGTCAACATGGATTGTTTATGTAGACGCCGGCCCGGCAGATCTGCACCGCACCGCACAGTGCACAGCACTTGGTTACTTCCCCGAGCCCCAGCTGGCTGCCCGAGCCCCAGTAATACAGTGGATTATGGAATCCGCTGTTCCTAACAAAATCGCGTGGGGAAGCGATTTCCGGATCCCCGCAACTACTACCGACCGGGCAACCACTTCTATACTGCTGCTAGCTATGAAGCTAAAGTTTGTTAGCAAATTAGTAGTATAGCAAAATTTAAGGTATTATTAGTTACTATCTACTTAGATCTAAGCGGGTTACGACCTATAGCCTTGTAACTACGTAATACTATATATACTAGCTTATACTAATCTCTCTACTACTAACTAGCCTGCTACTATATATAATACTGCTACTAAGTAAACTAATAGTACTATTACTATAGTACCTAGTAGTAAAGTAGCCGTTCTATTAGCTATATAAGCGACTATTATTATTGTTGCTAGTACTAGTAGTATTACTAAGCAGCCTATCGTTGTTACTATTTAACTAACGCCGCCTGTTACTATTTAAATAACGTCGCCTATTACTAAGTATACTATTCTTTACGCGCTTAAAGGTTATTAAGTTCTTACCGTAAATATAAAGATTTCGGCATTAAGCTAATAGGATCGGTCTTCCTCGTTAGGGGTTATAACGAGCCGAACTTTAGCCGACGGACCGGGGTCCGATAGCGGACCCCTAGCGGGCTACGTCGCTTAAGCCTATAAAGGCTACGTCGCTTACCCCTACTAGTAGGGATAATAAAGGGCCTATAACCCTCCCCTTCCTTAGATGCTTTAGGATTATTCTAGTATTACGAATAGAGGCTATTATATTACTATATAACCTAATACTCGTCTTATATACTCTTACTTCTAACGATATCCTAATATAATAATCCTCTAACCTTTCTACTAAGGGTAGCGGTCCGATATGCCTCTAAAAAGAATAACTCGTATAGCGACCCGACGGCTAAGCGATAGTAGAATACTACCTACGGGCCCTACTAGCGATTTAGGCGAATCGTCTCTACTCTTAGAAGCGCCGAGTAGTCGAGAACAATCGCTAATAGATCTACTCCGCGGTAGGGAATCGTAGGCCGATACTATAAGCGGAGCCCTCCTAGAAGGAACGCCTAGAATCGAGGAAGTCGAAGAAAACGACTTCGTAAGCGACGCTTACGTATCGATAGACGTAGAGGGAAGTAGCGACGACGACGACGAATAGCTAGTAGCCTAGTTTGCGGACGCAAAGGTAGAGTAATAGAGGCTCCTACTAAAGAAGCTTACTCGCCTCGAGAAAGACAATAAGAAGCTTACTAAGGAAATAGGCCGCTAGGCTAACTCTTCGAGGTCTACTACCTTAGAATCCGAAGCCGTTCTATTCTCGTCGCGCCCCCCGCTAATACTATATACCGCCGGCGGACCCTATACGGATAGCCGTAAGCGGATAGCCTCCTTAACCGATTACGGGCTACTACCTAAGAGAACTATTAAGGATTCTCTAATATATAAGGGTAAAAGCCTAAAGGAGCACTATAAATAGTATATAGTATACGAGATTGCTTTCCTCTAGGCGCCGTATACCTACGACTCCGGTCGGTCTAAGATTACCTACGCTATATAGTTCCTAGAGGGAACCTCTAGGGAACTATAGTAGAAATAGTAGCTTCGTAACGAGAAGCTACCGGAGCTCCTACGGGAATACTATACCTAGCGACAGTTTACGGACTAGCTACTAGACGAGTTAGATAACCCGATCGCCCGTATACTCGATGTATACGAGAAGTATACTAAGACTAAGTAGCGCGAGGGTTAAAATTCTAGGAACTTTCTCCTCTATATAGAGACCCTAGAGAAACAGATCGAGCCTTATACTTTTAATTAACTTCTCTTCTATTACTTCTCCCGCCTACGGCCTAAACTACGTATCGCTATTATAGACTATAATATAATCCCTAAGGATCGGGAAGAGCTATATCGCCTAGCGACTACGCTTAAGAAGAACCTAGCTACGAAGGATAAGAAGCTCTAACATACTCGTCCGGCGTCGTCGCCGGCGAACCTAGATTAGGGAAAGTCTAAGCTAAGGGAAAAATCTAAGCCTAGGGAAAAGTCTAGGCTAAGAAGAGAAGATAGAGATAAAGGTAAAGACAAAGATCGATCGAGGGACTCTAAACCTCGCGCCTTAGCGGCGAATAGTAAGGATAAAGAGATCCGATACTACTACTATAATAAGGTAGGATATATCCGACCCGACTATCTTAAGAAAGATAAAGAAAAGAACGGCAACCCTAATAAGTAATAGCTTAGCCGCTTAGGAAAAGTATAGGCTTTATCGTAGCCTCTTCGATAGCGGTAGGGCCTATCCTAGTATAATCGGAGGAAGTAATCGAAATAGTTAGCAAGGTACAAACTCCGTAAGGAGATCGCTAGCGGATCGCGGTTACTCTCGATACTAGCGCCTAGGTAACCCTCCTATAGTAGCGGCTCGTAGTCGAGTAGGAATTGCCTCGTACTAATATAGACCTCCTATACTTACAATAGTTAAAGGATTAGTAGATAACCTACTACGGTACGTACGAGCTAGAGCTTAGTATAACCGATAGCAAAGGTTAGGCGAGAACCTATAAGGTCCTCGTATATAGTATAGACTAGAGCGGAGTTAAACTCCTACTCGGAAGGTATACCTTACGGTCTACCGGCATCGATATTTAGAACGGGCTAGGGACCTAGATATAGGGCTTTATAGCGTAGCAAATCGAACGTATATCGCTAAAGCGCCTAAAGAGAGAGATAAAGAAAGGAGCAACTATCTACTACGTAGGTTATCTAGGGCTAGGAGCCGACGGCGGTACGCTAGCGTTCCGAATCCTTAACGTTAAGCTAGGCACCGAACTAACCTTGCCTAGTACGCTCGAATTATATCGAGACGTTTTTAATAAAGACTCCGCGAGTATCCTCCCTTCCTTTAGAGAGACTAACTATGCGATTAAGTTAGTCGAAGGGAAAGAGCCTCCTTACGGACTACTATATACCCTCTCTCCTCGAGAACTAGAGGTCCTCCGAGAATACCTTACTAAGGAGCTTAAGACTAGCCGCATCGTATATAGCACGAGCCCCGCCGGCGTACCGCTCCTATTCGTACCGAAGAAGGATAGAGGTCTACGCCTTTACGTAGATTATAGAGTATTAAACTCTATTACGATTAAAGATAGGACTCTACTCCCTCTTATCGATAAGACGTTAGACCGACTAGTCGGAGCTAAGTACTTTACTACGTTAGACCTAAAGGACGCGTACTACCGCATCCGTATTCGAGAAGGTAACGAATAGAAGACTACGTTCTGTACGCGGTATAGCTACTTCGAATATCGCGTTATACCTTTTAGCCTAACTAACGCACTAGCTACGTTCTAGGCGTATATAAACCGCGCTCTAGCCGGCCTACTAGACGATGTATATATAGTATATCTAGACGACATCCTAATCTATATCTATAGCGATAGCCTAGAAAGCTACTAGGCTGCCGTATATAGAATCCTTAACCGCCTACGGGCCGCCGACTTGTTCTATAATATTAAGAAGTGTACCTTCGCCGCTAAAGAGGTCGCGTTCCTAGGTTTTCGCGTTAACCGATAGGGGGTCGCGACCGACCTAGAGAAGGTGTCTACTATTACGGAATAGCCGATACTTAAGTCGATTTAGGAAGTGCAATCCTTCCTTAGATTTACTAACTTCTACCGACGCTTTATCGATAGGTATTCGAAGGTAGTCGCCCTAATTACCGACCTCCTTAAAAAGGATATACCGTAGAATTAGGGAGCTAGATAGTAGGGCGCTTTTAAGCTACTAAAGGAGCGGTTTACGACCGCGCTAGTACTACGACACTTCGACCTATTAAAGGACCTCCGCTTAGAAACCGACGCCTTAGATTTCGGGCTATTAGGTATCGTTTCCTAGCTTTAGGATAATAGCCTTTAGTATCCGGTAGCGTTTACCTTAAGGAAGATAATCGAGGCGGAACGGAACTACTAGACTTATAACTAAGAACTCCTCGTAATCGTATATTACTTTAGGACTTAGCGTTACTACTTTAGTAGCCTAGCGAAACCCGTCTAGGTCTTTACTAACTATAACAATCTCAAAACTATCTAGACGGTCTAACGGCTAAACCCTTGTTAAGTACGATAGGCTATATTTCTTAGAGGTTTTAACTTCGAGATTTACTACTAGGCTAGGAAGAATAATCCCGCCGACGGTCCGTTAAGGAGATAGGACTATTAGACCGAGAACTAGGCGGTAAACTAACTGTTACTAACTCTCTAGCGAAAACTGTCGCTAGTAGATAGCGAAGCAATACCGTAGGCAGTTCGCGTTGCTTACGCCCGGGCTATAACAACTAGTAGACTAAGGGAATCTATAACTAAGGAGATCTTAGGCTCCGCTATCGGAGAGAAGGCGGGAACTAAGAGCGAGACGTCCTAACTCGCTAGTACTACTAAATATATATAGTACGTACTACGCTCGGTCGCTAGGATACTACTAGCTAGCGAAACTATATCGGTAGACGTCTCGAAACCCTTCGTTAGCCTCGTCGCTTAGCTATAGCGCCGCGACGACTTTGTCTAGCGGAAGAGAGATAAGCCGAAGGAGCGAACGAATACTAGCAGGCTCTAGAAATAGAGATTTAATAAGAAAGGCCTACTTCGATATAAGGGTAGACTATATATTCTAAAGGAATAATCGGTCCGCTAGGAAGTCTTATCTATATACTACGATTTAAAACTAGCGGGCTACTTCGGCGCGCTAAAGACTTTAGTACTAGCGTACCGATTACTATACTAGCCGGAGATAGAACGAGACGTTAAGGAATACGTTAAAACGTGCCCTATTTGTTAGAGGAGCAAGGCGAATCGCTAGCTACCGTACGGAAAGCTCGCGAGCTTGCTAGTACCCTCTAAGATCTAATTAGAAATTAGCTTAGACTTTATTACTAAGCTACCGCTAGCGAAATATAAGGGCTCTGTTTACAATAGTATCCTCGTAATTGTCGACAGGCTGTCTAAAATAGCGTTATATATCCCTATATAGGAAACCTAGAAGACGCTAGACTTTACGGAATACTTCTTCGAAAAGGTTATATCGAGATTTAGGATACTAGACAGGATTGTTACCGATAGAGGGTCGCTATTTACGTTAGGCTTCTAGAC